AGCTTGACTGAGGGGACCAGAGTGACAGAAAGGAGAAATGAATCTCAGAATCTGAGGCTTTAGCTTGCAGTAGTTTGACCAAATGCTTTGCAGATTAAGCATTATAAATTCATATCTTGTTGAATACAAAAATGTGCATCGTCCAGGTGATTGGATATTGGTGCCATGTTGAGTACTGTAGAAGAGCCTAATGAATTAGTATTTTATTGGAATAAGAACGTCTGGGCCAGCTAGGTTTTCAAAACTGTGGTCCAGAGATTCACTAAATTAAAAAGCAACATTAAACTTTGTCCAAATCCCACAATTAGAAGACTTCACATAATTACTGTATTTACTTGATGAGATGATGAGGTTCTCCCCCTGCCCTCTTTAACATCAGGGGGGAAGCCCCTCACCTTACAAGTAAACATGAGGCAGCAGGGGTTTGCCAAATGTTGGCAATGAGGCACACTGTTTCTTGGCAGTCCCTGTTGTGTAGGAAGTTTTGAACACTGCTTGTGTTTGCTTCTGCAGAAAATGCCAAAGGAGAGACACTGGAGCTTTTCCATTCTGTTCATGGCTGGCTGATGGTGTTGTATGAAAGAGACTGTCGCCGGCGCTTTGCTCCGGAGGATCACTGGCTGCGGAAGTAAGTGTCTGATCCTAGTCCGAGGTAGTGTATGACTGTCTGACTTCCTCGTTCTCTCCTCACAACAGTTCTTTGTAGCTTATCTAAGAAGGCTGAGTTAGACGTGAGATGTGAAATGCCCTGTTGTTCTATGCCTCTACCTGGACAGGGTTGCTCTTCATACCACATTTGCTTTCTTTAGTTTTAAGAGGTCCCCAGTGGTGGCACTTCCTAGTCTTCTGTAGAACGATGCTCCTTGTGCGAGTTCCTGTTGATGGAGTAAATGTTTCCAAAGCTTCTTAAATCCCTTCTTCGAGGAGCATTTAAGAGCCTGATTGGTGTTAATGTGGCTTCCAAAGTTGCCAAAGTCACTGAGGTGCTTTGGAAATGTTTGCCTCCTGTTTGTTTTGCAAAACCCCTGTGTTCACTAGGTGTTTTTCGGGCGTCTCTGAATATATGCCTTACTTTTTAAGGGACCTCAAGCCCAGCGTGCTCTTCCAAGAGTTGGAAAAAGACAAGAGGCGAGCTCAGCTGCTCTTGCAGTACATCCCTCATGTCATCCCCCACAAGAACGTGAGTGGGACCTGGGTGGGGCTGGGTGTTTGCACTCTGAAGGGCTGTGCTCTGGACCACAGGAAGCAACTTCAGTCTCCAGTATTTTCTGGTGCTAAATTTGAATCTAAAATGCAGTTTTAAAAATGGCTTACTTCTGCTTGTTGTCTCCTGCTGGTTTTACCTTCTCCATTCAGGAGCGTTTTGTTTGTGAGGGTAGTTGCTTACACACAACTGATGTAGGCTGCTAGTAGTGCCAGTCTGGCTGTCAGAGGCAGGATAACCACAGACCAACCAAGCTGTAACTTTCTGAGCTGCCCCATGCAAGATCTGGGAGGTGGGGAAGCAGGGGCTTTCCCTTTGCCAGGCTGTTATGTTGCCAAGGTGGAGTAGGAGCTTTCCCAAATAGGAAGCTCTCTAATTGTGTAGGGATCAATGTCTCAGAGGCAGGCTCTGTGAGATCCCTCTGCTCTTCTGTGAGCAGGTCTTGCTGACATCAGTCAGCCTACTCCCATGAGCAGAACAGTAGCTAATCCTGAGGATCCCATCCTTTAGCAAGCTTCCTGCTCCAGGCTGCAGCTGGCTTTTAAAGCCATAGTCTATTGAATGGGAATCATGGCTTTTAATAAACTGCATCCTCGCCATAAGACCTGTTCATTTGCCTTTCACTTTGGGATGGGGGGTATCTTGTCAGCACAACTGAATGCCTGGTCTTTGTGATGACCTATGCTCTTCCGTTTAAGAGGGTGCTGCTTTTCCGAAACATGGTTACAAAAGAAAAGGAGAAGCTGGGGCTGGTTGAAACCAGTTCTGCATCGCCTCATGTCACACACATCACCATCCGCCGCTCCCGCATGCTGGAGGTGAGTGGCTCAGCTGGCAGAAGCTAATCTACACGCTGGTAACCTGGCTGCTCATTTGTGACCGCAGTCTGACTGTGTGGTGTGGTGTTCATCCATAGAGGTCTCGATCTAGGTCCTTTTGTGATCTCCTTGCCATAGCATCAGAGTCTATCTGACATAAAAATAGCAGTGGCATCAGTCCTTCCGTGTCCTTTAGTGGCCTAAAGAAAAATTGGCTTGGTTGGCATGTGTTATGTACTTGCCTGTGTATGAGGAAGTGAAGGGAAACAAGGCTGAGCAGTACTGGCGCACTGAGTTTTGAATGTGGGGTCTTATCTCTTGTAGCAGTGAGTTCTGCTGCCTCAGCCCATCTTCTGGAGTGGTTCTATTTTGCTGTGCCCAGATCCCCCCTCTTGGCGATGGCTTCCTTGTTTCAGTGAGATGTAGCTGTTAAGAGATGTTTTGGATGTGGAAATCATTCCTAAAATGAGTCTAACAGTAGTAATTGAGCCTAGAGATCCCAAGTGTGTGGCCTGCAAGGTTAGGCAAATGAAAGTGGGCATATTTTTGCTTGCCTGGTGCTTTGGCATCCAGCAGTACTATGGCATCTCAGAGTGCCCCAAGGCAGCGGGCTGGTTTAGCCACCTGAGGTTGAGGGAAGACAGGATCATCAGGGTGCTTCCTTCTCACTGCCAGCCCCACCTCAGTGTTGCCTGGGTTTGATTTGAGCCAGTTGACCTTCCTCCAGGTCCTGATGATAGCTGGGGATGTTGCTGTTTGTGTTTGATGTGACAGCAGCATAGGACTGCGTGCCATGCATCTCACTGTGTCAAAGGCTAAATGAACAGCACCTTCAGAAGAGCAAAACACGAGTGCAGATTAGTGAGTCCAGGCCCAACCTGTACTCTGAGTTTCTTGGAGCCCCTGGACACAGGCTCTGTACAGATGCAGAAGCCCAAGTAACTAAAAGACACTATCAGCATTTTTATGTCTTTGTTTCCATTGCAAATAGAGAACGCCAGCAAAGAGAACAAGCTCTGTAGATTTTGTTACTGATCTTACTTAGAGGGCTGTTTTATATGCTAAGAGATGGTTTCTTCCCTGGCAGGGACTGTGAGGATAGTGGTTTCTTTTCCATTTAGCTGTAACAAGCTGTGAAACTTTCCCTTTCATGCCTTGATCAGACAGTGGGATTTGACATCCATCTGCTTAACGTGCACAGCTCCATTGCCAAGCAATCCAGCATGTGTTGACATGTTTGCAGTGAACTGTCAAAGTTTGGTAGATGGTAGAGAGAAAACGTGCCTGCATAGTCGTGCAGTCGTGTTCTCCCCCACCCACATCCTCCCCAGGCGTGTGCATCAGCCAAAGCACTCCATTCTAAGCCACTTCTACCCCAGTCTCTTGCCCTCCAAGGCTGACTGATCACGCTCAGTTCAGCTCAGCATCTCTTTTTCCACCAAAGGTGCATTTTTATGAGGCTTAATTGCTATGCTTCACCTTGCCCTTCTTTAGCACTTTCTCATTGTGTCTTTGGCATCTGTGACTGTATCTCTTTTGTCGAGAGCTGACTGCAGAGTGAAAGTGCCACATATCTGTTTTGGAGTAGAAGCTTGGACTGGGCATACGTATCCAACAATCCCCCTCAATTTGGGGGTCTGTTGAATTTGCATGTGCTTAAATAGTGCAAGCCTCGGATAGACTAGCCAAAGGATAAATTATTTCTTCCCATCTTGAATTTGTCTACTGAGACGCTTAACAGTCCGAGAGCTGGTAGCTGATACCATGGTGATTATACTAAAAATAAAAAAAATCCCCTGTATGACTGACTAGTTTTAATACATCTCTGCTTTCCCTCTCTGTACCCTTTGGCCCATTGGCCCCTTCTTGTCTCTCTTAAAATGCTTATAAGCCACTGAAATGCCTGCTTGTATCTGTCATTATCTGTTTGGTTTTGCTCTGTCTGCTTATACTTATCATTTTCAGAATAATTTGCTGACTGCAGTGTCTGTCATGCCACACCAAGGCATGGAAAGTGCAGATTCCTTCCCAGAAATCTTGTGCACCGGGTTTTCCAATTTTTGTATGAAACTAAATGTTTAAGGAACAGCGTATTGTGGTGTTCTCCCCAGCTCCCTCATCTCAGGCATTGATGCCAGCATTCCCCACTCGGGAGGTGATGAACCCCACTGTAAAACGCAGGCGTGTGCTTGTCAGTGCTGCATACGTGGAAGGGTGTTTTGTGTGCCTCTGTATGACTGACGTGCCTGTTCCAATCTGGGCAGGATGGGTACGAACAGCTCCGGCAGCTTTCTCAGAACGCCATGAAGGGAGTTATTAGAGTGAAGTTTGTGAATGACCTGGGGGTTGATGAGGCTGGCATTGATCAAGACGGCGTGTTCAAAGAGTTCTTGGAGGAGATCATCAAGAAGGTGTTTGACCCTGCACTCAACCTCTTCAAGGTACTGAGGCTGGGCCACAGAGACCCTTCTTCCACCAGGACATGCAAAAACCTGACTAGATCCTGACTTTCTCCTTCTTGTTTTGCCTTTATTGCATTTCTGTAGACTACCAGTGGTGATGAAAGATTGTATCCTTCCCCAACATCCTACATCCATGAGAACTACCTCCAGCTCTTTGAGTTTGTTGGGAAAATGCTTGGGAAGGCTGTGTATGAGGTAAGCTGAAGGAGAGTGGGTATTTGTTTTTACAAAGCATTGCTCAAATTCAAGTCATGACACCCTCAGACAATTGGAAGACACAGGCTATTGCAGTGGGTACTTGAAGATATGCATGGCAAGCATAAAAAGGTCAAAAGGCATAAGGTCACAATATATGGAGTCTGGCTACAGCACTGAACTGTGATGTGCGAAGAAATCTAAGGGAAATTAGGCCCCCCCGAGTCCTACTGACATTCAGCTTCTTTTGCCTCCTTTGGAAATCCTAGCTGTAGTGTCCTAAGTATCTGGTGTAAAGTTGACTCGGCTGCTATGAAGTATGAGAGAAATAAGCAAAGCAGGGTAGATTTGGTTTAAATCGAATCAATTTTAAATCGCTGGTTGAGGAGCCTCGATTTTAATTGTTTTCTACAAAAAGTGCATTCTTGTTGTTTGATATCCTTTATTCATTTAACTTCTTGAAACTTTGCACTTTTAGAGAGAGGTAAGGGCTTGACTGTATGTACACAAACTTGCAGAGAGACAAGAGGGCTGATGGGTAGGTAATCAGGTCTGTTATCTCTCATCTCCATATCCTGCTGTTAACAAGGATGTTCTCTCTCGAGACACAAATCCACAGTTTGAGAACTGAAACCAAGCATCGTGGAGATGCTTACCAGGATCTTCTAGAGTAAGCACTGAGTCCCATTGGGTAGAGTGGTTTTCTTTAATCTTTACTATAGAGGAGCCTCTGGGCACCCTGTAAGACTGGGCCCCTAATATAGTCTGTGGCCTGTTGTGACTTATTTATAAACCTTTTCTAAAAAGGTTACATGAATATATTGTCTCAAGTAGTATATAATTAAAAGTTATAACCCTATTCTGTGATGATATCTTTGAGCTTTAACAGATCTCAAATTAAAACTCTCTTTATATATAGGGTTTTTTTCAATTTTAACAAAAAAAAATCAGAGAATACAATTAAATCAAAAAATCTGATTTTAAATAAAAATAAAATTGGTTTTTATCCTCCCTGAAGCAAAGCCAGCTTTTCCTGAAGTGCCCCCTCTGATGGCACTTGCATTTAGAAGGCACTGTTCCTCAGCCTTGTCAGGCCCTATTTTGGGCTCTTGCATCATATGAGTCTTCTGCTCCCACTGTGAATCTTTATAGAGGAAACCAGCAAAGCCACACTAGTATGATTCACACTGCAATGGGACAGGACAAACAATGGTGTCTGCCGAGTGGAAAAGGACTGAGCCTTCAGTATGCAGATTGCTCACAGAAATTCACCCGAGTACTAAAGCAACTAGTTAAGTCATCTCTGAGCACTAGCAGTTATCATCAATTATCTTCTGGAGCTTGGTTGCCTTTCTAAAGAGGTTTATTCATCAAAAGAAGAAAAAGACAAACCTGAGGAATTGCAAATCACTAGAAAAATCCTAGAACAAACGATTAAAGAATCAGCTTATGAACTCCCATAGGATAATAAGGTGTTAGCAAATCACTATGGGCTGCTTTAAGAACAAATTGTTATGCCTAGCCAGTCTGCACCTCTTTAATAAAATAAATGAATAAATAAAAATAACGGCCTGGTGGATAAGATGGTTCACTGGCAGATGGAGAGGGCATTTCAAGTGGTGTCCTGTAAGAGTCTGTCTTGGGCTGACTTCTGCTGATTCTTCTCATTTATTGCCTCGGATAATGTAGTAGAGTGCACACTTCAGACTTGCAGACAACCCGAGCCACTTTAGAGGGCAGGACCAGATTTCAGAGTTCTCTTGAGACACTGGAGATGTCCCAAGTTTAACAAAATGAAAAAGTTAAAGACAAGTGCAAAGCATTACAACCAGGAGGCAGGAGTTGAACAAAATGGGGTATAACTAACTCAGGCATGAGTACTGCAGAAAACAAATGGGGGTGGATAGTTAATTGCTGCCTTCTCACCAGTCAGCAATGCAAGGCAGTTGCAAACAAAAGTGGGATGTCTCAACGTGCATCAGCAGGAATGTTGCATGTGAAGCAGGGGAGGTGACTAGTTTGTTGGGTTGGGGCTGGGGGGCTTCAGCTGGACTACTGTGCCCAATACTGGGCAGCCACTTTAAGAAAGAAGTAGACCAATTGACCGGAAAGGGAATGGTGGAAGTCCGCAGCTAGATGGGGCCTAGCTTGGCTGGTGTGTGGCAAGGCGCACTGCATGTAGCAAATGGAGGCAGAAGATTCACGTGCGTTCTTCTTTCTTCACTGTAGGGAATCGTTGTGGATGTTCCGTTCGCTTCCTTCTTCCTGAGTCAGCTGCTTGGGCACCATCACAGTGTCTTCTACAGCTCTGTGGATGAACTTCCTTCCCTGGACTCCGAGTTCTATAAAAACCTCACCTCCATCAAGGTTTGCCTTTATCCTCCCTGCCTTCACACTCCATGGTAACTGCTGCAGGAAAGAGTCAAAGTGATTCCAACAAGGGTGATGTGAACTTTTGCCAGCTGGGATGTCTCAGCTGGGTGAACCCTCTTTTAGGTGACCACAGACACTAAGCCAATTTTGCCTGCCTTTTATATTGAGGGGGGAGCTCTTCCATCTGTCTGCTTGAAGGCTTACTGTCTCTCATAAATGCTTGCGGGTCATTACAGGTCTGAAGAGATGTTCCTGGATAGCTGAAATGTTTGAGCTTGTAGGAGAGAGTGAGATCCAAGAGCAAGGTGCCTGTTAACTGTTCAGGCTCCTTCTGCTGTGCATGAATCATGGAAGGGAGAGCTTCTGCGATCTGTGCACAGGACTGGACCAGGAGTCACAAAGTCTTGGGTTCCAGCCTCTCATTGCAAGCCACCCCACTCTGTTACCTACAGCAAGATGTGTACCCCTCTGCCACACTGCCTGTGCTAATGCCTCATGATGTGGTGCAGGTGCTGGGTTGTTGCTTTGCTGACTGGAGTTGACTGCCTTTCCTCTCCCCATCCCTAGCGCTACGATGGAGATATCAGTGACTTGGGCTTGACACTCTCCTATGACGAAGATGTGATGGGTCAGGTAAGCCATGCACTCCCCCGTGCTCATTGACTCTTTGCATTTGGCTGCACAAGGTCGTTCATACTCAAAGGGGCCGTTCTCAATTGCTTATGACTTCATCCACTTTGGTTTCAAGCTACAATGTGGTAGGCTTGCCGTCTGCTTTGGAAAATGCAAACCAGAACAGGGTTTTTCCCATTTTAAAGGAATAAGCAAGGGGAAAAAGCAGCTTGACTCAACAATGTGTGTGTGAATATGACCATAGCAGGTAGTCCTGAGGCTGCAGCTCGCAAACGCCGGTTATTTGTGAGATTTGTTACAAGGGTTTAATTAAAGCAGCAGCTTATTTGGCTTGCACATCGTTGGTCAGAGAATGAACAGAGCTCTGTAGTGCATGGGTCTGGGTTCCAGATCAGTTCAGTCTCGCTCCCCGTACCTCAGGGATGTGCTGTAACTGAGCCAATCTGCCAGAAGGTGGATCCCCTTTCTGGTTAAGCACTGGGTTGGGGCCCAGGCAAACTGAGCTCTTTCCTTTCGTGAGGCTTCCTGCGTGACAGGGGCTCCAGCTTGACCTGCACCACAGAGTCTTGCCAGCCTAGCTGTGCTGGCTGGGGCTGGGAAGAGATCTATTCCAAGATGGTATGAAGCTGCTGGTAATGTTCCTCTCCCATGGCTGCAGGCTCACTGATATAAGAGAGCTGCTCCTGGAAGGAGCATCTCTTGTTCCAGGAAGGGGCTGAGTTGAAGCTGTCAGAAAACCCCTTCTGCTGCCATACCCAAAGTCTCCCTTAAGGGACCTGTCAGCCAACTTGTGGTAGCAGGAATTCCACAAGGGTCTCTACAGCACAGGGATCGCACTTCCCTGCCTCCCAGGAGTGCTGCAAGGAGGAATTCATTATTGTGGAAGGGTAAAAAAAACTACCCCAAGCAGCAGCCCACCTCTCTGAGCACTTTCCCTCGGATGCAGTGAGGTCCTAATCCAGAACCCACAGAACTCTATGGGAGTCTCTTCATTCTCTGAATCAGGAATGAAATGAGGATCCTGTAGGAAAAATGGGCTTCAATCCTCTAAGAAAAGACTGCTGAAATGGAAGGAGTCGAGGTTGGGTGGAGGAGGAGGTGGCCATGTCCTGGCTTCCCTTGGCACCTTGAGTGGATTTATGTGACATCTCAATGAATAACTCCCTAGGAGATGCCAGGCTGGGTCCTCTGGTGGAAGGAGAGTTCCCTGCTGTTCAATTAGTTAGTATTTAAAAAAGGCACCAATGTGGGATGGAAACAGGATGACTGTTTAAAATGCAAATCCCAGTGTCTTACTGTAAAAATATGGAGCTGTAGCTTCAGAAGGGTGTTTCTTTCCGGTTATGGTCCCCGGTAGTAATTAGCAATGTAATCCTTTCTTCCCTCAGCTTGTTTGCCACGAACTTATTCCTGGAGGGAAGACCATTCCCGTTAGCAACGAAAATAAGTAAGTACAGCAATTAAATTTGTAAGGTCACTACTGCAAAGCACTTCATTCTAGTTCCTTGGGCTTTGCATCAGGAATGAATTGAGATAGATTGGAGCAGAAAGAGCCCATAAATACTGTAATAGGATTTACTGGTTACAGCTCATCGGCAGAAATTGTATTAAATTCGATTTGCAAAATAAGAATTGACAATTTGCTTTTTGAAACGGCACTTCTAAGGTCACAGGCAGCCAGAGCGGGATGTTCTGAGGGATTTAATGATGGTGATGGATACAGACAGATGGATTCAAAGCAATTCAGGCACACGGCCGTGAACATGGAGGGCACAGATGCTCAAAGACACCTTGGAGCAGACGGATCTTCGCGGAGTGATAGCATGTGGCAGTTGTATAAAATACTGCTCTTCACCAGACGCAGTGGTGAATTCACATGCAGTAGACAGCGCTACTCAGACACCGGAAATCAGAGGAGACACGCAGCCCTGTAGCTATTTTCACAGATAATCAGCTTTAGATAGTTATCATAAATGTCAATTTTGGAGCCTAAAAACCAACCCTTCCCACCCCCTTTCACGGATAGGGAGAGCTGGATAAGATCTGGAATATGCAGACGCGGATACGTGCCTGGTGATTAATTTACAGCCTGCTCTCTCTCTCTCATGGCAAGCTAGCGCTGCCTCCTACCTGAATATGCATCTGCATCACCTGCACTTTACAGTCCAGAGTTCCCAGTCAGTCTTTTCCTCCTGAGATTATGTCAGCGAGTTTAAATGTGAAAGAAATATCTCTTTACTTGTCAGCTTGCCACTCAGGAAGAAAACTGAAAGTCCCGTGTGGCTTTGTGCTCGCCACACGCCGCATCTTTGAGGTGTGTTTGCACACGCATGCAAAAGGGCAGTTGGCAGGAAAGCAAATGTGACAATGGAGCATAATCCTTGAGTTTTTCCTTGGATTGGAAAGCAGGGTCAAGCTAAATGCCGCCTTCTGGTGGGCTGATAAATACAAGGGACCAGCTCTATTTTAGCTGAGCTGGAAGGAGACTTGGTCTTTGTTCATTAGCTCACTTGTAAGATCAGCGTGTGTGTGAAGGGCAGGATGAGTCACCCCTGAAATCGGTGGTTGCATGTCTCCATTGAATTTGGGTGCTGGGTTTACAATGCCCTGCTTAGATGAATGAAGTGAAGTGGCTGCAGACAGCTCATGAATTCAAGGCATCTGCAGCCAGCTTTGTTCTGTCTGGTTTGTTTGAGTAATATCTGAGCCCTGAGGAAAGAGGCTTGCCTGGCTTTTGGGAATGGGCTGGGCAGATGGGTGAGATGCCTCCCCTGCTTCTGATGGCTCCTTCTCCACGCTTCATAGGATCAGCTACATCCACCTTATGGCCCACTTCCGGATGCACACGCAGATCAAGAGCCAGACGGCTGCACTCATCAGTGGCTTCCGCTCCATCATCAAACCCGAGTGGATCCGCATGTTCTCGGCACCGGAGCTACAGCGGCTCATCTCTGGTGACAATGCTGAGATTGACCTCGAGGACCTGAAGTGAGTGGGCTGCACCTTAGGCTGGTCCCTCATTTCTGTAATGCTCTTAGCACAGGAAACTAACGCTTTCCAACCCTTCTGCTTCTTCCAATCAAAAGTCAAATGACAGCCTGGGAGTGGAAGGTTGGGAAATAGCTATATCCTATAACATGGGAGTGGGCAAATTGACCTCAGGGAACAGCTGTACCCAGGAGACAAGTACTAAATATCTGTAGCTCCTTCAATGCTCTGGCAAGCCTGCCGGACATGGTGGATGCAGAGAGCAGGAGCGGAAGCCTCTCTTTATAACTGAGGGGGTGGGGAGGTCTCTAGGGTGGATTGGAGAGCTGCAGCCACCTATCTGCAGGCGAGCGGGATGCTATGACCTTTTCTGATATGAGCTTTTTGTGTCCTGTCCTCAGGAAACACACAGTGTACTATGGCGGCTTCCACGGCAGTCACAGGGTCATCATCTGGCTTTGGGACATCCTAGCCAATGACTTCACCCCTGAGGAGAGAGCGATGTTTCTCAAGGTAAATCTCTCCCCAGGCTCCTACCCTGCCTGAGTGGGCCCTGTGTCTGTGCACCTCTGGCCTTGGCAGGAACACAGCTGCAGCCTTCTGGCAATCCTCTGGACCCTTGCTGCCTGTGAGCATCTTTCCCTAGAGGCAGAACAGTACTGAAAGGCCTGACGCCTTAGAAAATGGCAGACTGTTTTTCCCCACAAAGGTTGTCCCTAGAGGGCACCGTCCCTTGCAGTGTTGTTGTACTGCCATGGATGCCCTTCTCTGGGGGCGAGGAGCACAGTAGACTTTCACTCCCGTGTGGCTGGACTAGCTATTGACAGAGCAGGCAGGTCAGCAAACGAATGCTCCGTATGAGAAACCGCGTGTTTCTGTGTTGGAATAGAGTCTCCGTGTTGCTCTTTGGAGACGCGGTTGCCATCTTTTAACCAGACCTGCTGGGTTTTATTCAGTTTGTCACCAGCTGCTCCCGGCCTCCACTTCTGGGCTTTGCCTACCTCAAGCCTCCTTTCTCCATCCGCTGCGTAGAAGTCTCAGACGATCAGGTATGCGGCTGGAACGGACCTGGCCAGCGTTTCCCAAGCTGTGGTGCAGGAAAAATCCCACTCTGATTCCCAGAGGGACCTTCTCCAGGGCTTTTCCCCTCCCACCCTGCTTCCACCTCGTCTCTGCCATCACCTCAGAGCTCCTGTGGGTAGAAAGCGGGGCACTGGGACCAGGTGAAAGTGCACTAGCTGTAATGGGATGTGAGGCTGGTGGGTGACGTGGCTGCTTCCGTCTGTGCTCCCTGGTGTCTGCCTTCCCTTTGTGAGTGGTCACCCTGCTTCTGCAGCTGGTAGCACTCCTTGCGATGACCTTGCTGGGCCCGTCTGATTTGGTTCTGTCCTCCTGAGTCTACTACTCTTTCAGCTTCACGTGCTATGCCTAGTCAGTCTCCGATCACTTTACCCCAAGGCAAGTGTACTCTCCGGTGGTTGGAGGTTGGCCACCTGGAGTCAGGCCCTGTCGCTGCCCCAGACATGGGCAGGGTAACGTGTCTCTCGCTATGTTTCCAGGACACTGGCGACACACTGGGCAGCGTGCTACGGGGCTTCTTCACCATCCGCAAGAGGGAGCCGGGTGGCCGGCTCCCCACCTCTTCCACGTGTTTCAACCTGCTCAAGCTTCCCAACTACAGCAAAAAGAGCATCCTGCGGGAGAAGCTGCGCTATGCCATCAGCATGAACACCGGCTTTGAGCTGTCGTAGCTGCCTTGCCCCCACGGGCTCTGAGCCACCTGCCAGCACCAGAGACACGCAGGGCAGGTCAGCACCCAAGGGGGTGCTGCTTGCCAGCTCCAGGACTGGAGAGATGCTCATGGTAATAGAGAGAGCCCTTGGTCCCACCCGGTGTGGGAGCTGCCTAGGCTGCCACTAGATCCCTAGGGTAGGCACCAGGTCTGATCCCAACGCGCTTCACTTATTGCCATGTAAATTATTAAACACCAAACCCAGGGGAGACTTGGGGTAGCGCCCAGGCCCAGCAGGTCTCATGCCCGAGACACAACCTGGTGTCAGTGTGTGGCAGGCAGGGAGGAGGTCCTGCTATGTGGCTGGGCAGACACTGCTGCAAGCAAGGCCATGCACTAGATATGCCTTTGGCTGCACCAGGGCAGGAGTGTGGTGGAGCCTGCTACAAGGCTGTCTCCACTGTGCAGTGCCTGCTCCCCAACCCCCTTCACTCAGGTCAGGCTTAGCAATGGGGATTGACTACAGCCCCGCGTACCAGGTGAGGCCCTTGTGGTGGACTCTGAGCAAGAAGGTTTCCCTGATCTGGAAAAGCTGCAGCCAGCACTGGCAGGCACATAAAGCCTCTGCTCTGATGTGACGGCAGGGTGAGAGTACAAAGCACAGGTGTGCAGCTGGGAGCACCGGCCCCTTGCACCTCTGCTTAGCTCCACGTGGCTGGAGAGGGACCATGCTCTGCTTCCCAGGCAGTACACATAGCTTTCTTTTTGCTTTCCTCTCATTGCTGGGCAGGAAATGGAGAGGCACTGGTGTTGCATCCAGCTCCTGGTAAGCTCTGAAACCTTCAGCTGCCCCTGTGTGTGAGCGGGATGTACTGATCTGCCAGCAGCCCTCCCGCGTGCTCAGCGAAACCCCTGTTCTCTGACCTTCGTGGAGATTTTGACCTGGTTGCCCTCCTGCTTTCTGGCTGCGGCCTCTGCATAGCACAGTGGCACTTGCCTGCCAAACTCTTCGATAGTTTTGGTCTTGTGGTTAGCTGAAGCTCCTGTGCAACCACACGGCTTTTCAATCAGCTTGTTCTCAACAGAGGGCTCCTTTTCAGGAAAGAAACCATTGTACAGGCTGCACGTAGCTTTGCAGTTCTGACCTCTCACGGGCAGGTGGGTTCTGCCTTCAGCCCAAAACCCTTATACTCTGCAGCAGGACACTGCATGGGGTTCTGGTGTCAGGGAAACCACCATTTAGTCTGAAATTTAGATAGATTTTATTTAACTTCCTCCGTATCGTGCCTCAGCTCCTAGTGGTTGCAGCATGAGCTCCTTTTAACGCTCTCCTTTCCTCCCCTCTCCTTATCCTTTCTCATTTGTATGGGAAATCCACGGTTTTAACCTGGTGGTGTAACCCTGGGCAGATCCAGAGAGAGTAGACATGGAGCAGCGGATGCTCCAGTGCCAGGCTGCCCACCCTACCTCATCCTCTCTAGCAAGCGTGAATGGCAGGGATTTCCAGCCCCAAGCTGTGTTGTATAGCACGCCTCTGCACAGGGGGACTGGGCCCCGGGCTGTTGGGCAGGCCCTTTTAATTGCTGCTGAGAGAGCAGGCATGAAGCAGACCAGAACATGCTTTCAACCGAAGCCATTCGGAGATGAGAGCAGCAGAAATGCCCTTCATGTTCTCTGTCCTGCCTTATTTAATTAATTAATTAACAAAACTCAATACCAGTCCTTCTCCACGTGGCTTGGAAAAGCACGTCAGCTCCCACTCGGCTGGGGGCCTTTTGTTCTTACTGAACACTTGCTCGTTAATAGGAATGACCTACTCTGTTAATGAAGGAAAGACTTGCCTGCCTTCGTCTTGCCCCAACTATTCAATGGGCATTGCCACATGGAATTTAGAAAGGGTAGGACATGGCTTCAGATCTCGTGTAGGGATCAGTTCACATTTGGTAACCTGTAGTGGTGTAGCTGGAAAGGGTTTGATGCCGGCCTGGCAG